CACGAAATTGCTAGGGTTTAGAACATGGGAGGTCCCCTCCTTTTATAGAGATACTTGGGCCAGACTAGGGATCTCTTAGAAGGTATAGAGTTTGGGCTCCTTACAGGCCCAAATTCTTATGTTCAGCCCAGAACACTATTTGGCCCGTAAATATTAATTCATTCTACTAGAGAATTAATATTGCACTCCTGGCCTATCCCGAAATGAATCAGGGCTTCTATTAGACTCGATATAATTCTCCGTGTTTAAGATATCGCACGACCATTAATTATTAAAGCTTCTGACTGCTTTAATTAATTAATATCTTTTATTCCTTAAGTAGTACCACTCAACCTTATTATCGTGCGGATTAAATCCACCTGCAGAGTTTATACGATAATCCTTATGAGTTCCTTAAGGGGACGTCATCAACCTGGATGTCCAGGACACGGTGCCCTAATACCAATAAATAAATATCATGCAGATAATGTTGTTACCCAAGATACAGAGCATATTGAACCAATACTTGGCTCTCACCCATTGTAAATCAAAGTAACAAACAAATATCCCACATATCTAAGTATCACAATTAGGGTTAAGAATTAGTAGAGTCACCGAGACCTAGGTTCTTCATGATAGTCAGAACAGAGGAACACGTCTCAACTGTGATCCATTCAATGTGATGCAGCGCACTAGTATAAACCAATAGCCAAGACAAGCTACATCCAGTTTATACTACAACCTAAACCGATAGTCATGTCCATACTACTAACACACCACATTGTCTACAATATAAGATAATTGGACATTTAGCATACAAGCAATCATAAAGAATGCAAGAATGTGAAAACATTTATTTCAGTCGAATGGGAAATCGAATAAATACAATCCAAAAGTTCACATATAAGTTTGCTTTACTATATACCCTAACACCCTAACCTCTTGAATATGCTTTACACGTTTTTCTCCCCGAAGGGCTGGAGAAATTTGGCCTCTTCAAGCGAGAAAGAAAGAGAGAGATTCTTTTTCGAAAGAATATTCGGTTAGCACCGTAAGGTCTTAGAAGATGATGATCAAGAGGTTTTGGGAAATCTAATAAATCGCTCCACCAAGATTTATTAAAGATCGTATAAAGGTCATACAATAGAAGATTCGAAGGTTGATTCGTATCCCGTCGAATATACATATTTTTCCCAGCTTTCTGTCGAATTTCTGCGCGCACAAATTCGCGCCCAGGTATCGAGCTCGCGGTCAGCTTTTTGATCGATCGTTTAGGTCTAATTGATGCAACACTGTGTGTAGCATGATAGTGTGCGGTGCTGTGTTCTCCGTGCGAGGTCGCGTGTTTGATCCCTTCTCCTTGCGCTAATAAGAGACATTTATTTGGTTCGAGGCGCGCGGGCTTTCTGGCCCGCATCAGGCCCACGCGCGGCCCGCGTCTACCTCACATCTCAGCCCGCGAGAAGCCCTCTTCTAGCCCGCATGAATTGTCCTGCTGCACCACGGCCCAGATGCGCGTCACCTCGGCCCAATTTCGTTGTGCGCGGCCCAGATGCACTCCACTCGGCCCAGCGAAGTAGAAAGCAGCCCAACTCGTGTCTGTGCGGCCCAACAGTCATTCCAGCGAGCCCAACATGATCCAGCCGGTCCAGAACACCTTCAGACCAGCCCAGACGCGCCCAACAAGGTGCAAACTGTTTCAACTTAGTCCAGAAGCTCCAGTTCATGTCCAGGATGGTTCCCGAGCGGTTCGAGCAGTCCAATTCACTTACCGAAGGTCCGAGACGATCTGATGAGCTTGATGAGCGATTGGAACACCTTGATGACTCGATTAGAATCAAAAAAGGCCAAGTCTAGCTACCCATTAGACTTTGGTATTCAGACGATCTCCATCAACGGAAATCAGAAATGTTTCAGAGTCGGCAAAAATTTTTTAAACCGTAAGTCCTAATCCTAACTATAGATTCCGCTGCGTTAGGATTTATTATTCATTAGATTTGAATATGCACATTGTCGACGTTCCTAATAGAACCCAACAGTGGTCGAAGGTGTCAAAGGAAGAGGGGCTATAGGACGCCCAACCAGTAGGTCGACCGATCTTCTCGGGTTTGTACCAGCTGTTGGAGAGGGAGGTAGAAGATGGACGCCTTGAAGAGGCCTTGAAAGGTTTCTTGGTCGAAGATTTTTTGGGAGGAGAGTTAGACATTCTGGGTTGGGAAGAAGGAGGAAGAACGGTCGAAGATTTTTTCGGAGGAGAGTTAGAAGTTCTGGATTGGGAAGAACAAGGAGGAATGGTCGAAGATGTAGGGAAAGTAAGTTGAGAGGAGATGACCTCGTCTTCCTCTGGCTCATCTAACAAGCCAAAGGTAGGTAGCCGACGGCGGAGGGGAATATTATCCATGGTATCACCGGAGTTAGGGGAAGAGGCACGAGAGGAAGTACGGGCGATAAAAACTCGAGTTGGGACGGTATCACCAGGTCGAAGGATGGAGATAGGAACAGCGTCAGGGACAAAAGGAACTTCTTGAACTGAGTTGGAGGAAATGGTCGCCGAGGAGGATGGAGAACTCAAATCAGCACTAGAGTGATGGTTGTTCTCACTGGAGGTTGTAGAGTCTGAAAAAATAAGAGCAAAAAAAAAAAAAACATCAAAAGGGAACCTTCGCGAAGGAAAAAAAGAAAGAAGGAAGGCTAGGGCTTCTGGGGGAAGCAATTCCAAAAACCAGGGGAAGAAAAGTGGGAATTTCGAAAAATTCTTAAAGGAAAAACAAAATTCACAACATTCAATAAACAAACCAAGCATTCAGAGCACAGATTTAGAACGGGACACGCAAATTCAAAAAATTCAACAGACAAATTGGGGATATCCAAGACCTAAAATCCAAGAGCAGATAAACCCAAAATGCAGAGAATACAAATTTAGGTGAGGAATGACTTACTCATAACCGTGGGTGAGCGAATTAGAGGAGCCTTGAAAACGCAGGAGGAATCGCCGATAGTAAAAGTTAGGGTTGCAAGGAAATTTCACAGCACAAAGAATTCGAAAGTTGCAAGGGTGAAAAAATTCTGAAATTTCGCTAAGTATGGATTTTATACTTGGGTGAGTTAAAAGGTCAAAGAATAAGAGCCGTTAGATTAAAGCCAGATCTCACGGTGGGGAGCATTAATTCACACGGATCTCAAAATGGGCGCATTAGACGAGGAGGTGCAATAACTAAAGCGCCTGACAGGCGGGACGCGTGGCAGAAAAGAAGGTGTGGCAGAAAGGACGTGTAACAGGCGACTTAATTTTTGGCAAAATAAAGAGGAATTATTTGAAAAAAATGAGCGGAAAATGCACCAAGTGGTCGATATCCGGCATAATACCACTAAGGAAGAAGATGAGCACAAATTCACTCTTAGATCGAGTCATTCAGACTCAACCAGAGTGGGGGGACTAGATGATATAGAATATTAAACCTACCAGGCTGAACCGGTCGAAGAGGTCATACCGTAAAAGAACCGAGACAAGTGGCAGAAAGATCGATCAGTTATTAGTCGACTAGCCAAGTAGTCGACCAATCCATCACTCGACCAGATAAATGATCAAGCAACTTAGTCGACCTCAACAGGTCGATCACCTAGAGGACTTAACACTCTAATGGATCGGCCTAGTCATAGGCGCGTGTGAGAGCCTCTAACCGAATTTCAGGAGAATATTTACTACATGTGCAGGAGGACACGTGTCGAGAATGTATTGGTTGATAGCGACAACCACCTCTGACTGCTCCCAACGTCCCGCGCTACTTCTGACATGTGCGCGGCGTGTCAGAGTACAGACGGGCAGCTTGGGCAACCAGCTCACCTTATCCGGGCAGCTATTAGGGCAGGTATCTCACCCCTATATAAAGGGGGTGAGCCTTTCTTCCTTAACATGATTTTTCCATTTCTCACTTCAGTATACTCATACACATACTGACTTAAGCATCGGAGGCTCTTCACCGGACACAACCCCCAGCGTGAGAGTTACTTGCAGGTTTCCGGCATTCTACCGGCGAGAACAAGAATCGATCTACCCCAAAACAGACCAGGACGCTCACACTTGCATTAGATACCAATACACACGGGCCAACAATAGGGAGGCTGAGGGTTATGTGGAAGAGAAACTTGACAGGGCTTTTGCCTCCTATAAGTGGCATAGCATTCATCACAGGGCCAAAGTAATCAATGTCTTAAGAACTGCCTCTGATCACCCCCTTCTTCTTCTAGACTCAGGGTCCCATACTCCAAGGAAGAAAAGAAGATTTACTTTTGACAGAAGATGGATAGCTAAGGAGGGGATAGAGGATGTTGTTCAAAATGAATGGCTTAAATATCAAACTGGCACTCCATTTTTCCAGCTGAAAGAAAGGGTGAAGCAAACTAGAATTGACCTCCTCACTTGGAGTTCCAAATTCAGATCTCAGAATCAAGAGAAGATTGCATCCTTACAGAGAAGCTCAATACTCTAAGACCAGAAGGTAGAAGCAATAAATCGGAGGAGTGGGACACTATCAAGCAGAACCTAGATGCTGCTTATGACTTTGAAGAAAAATTCTGGTCCCAAAAAGCTAGGAGTCAGTGGCTCAAAGAGGGGGACTCCAACAAAAAATTCTATCATGCATATACTATTCAAAGAAGGAGATTGAATGCCATTTCCAGGTTCATTGGTGAAAATAACAGAGTCGATTCTTCTAGGGATGAGATTAAAGACCATATTACCAGTTACTACTCCACTCTATTTTCCTCTGAAGGTTCTTTGGGTGGAGATTTCCTTCTTCATCTCATACCACAATCTATCAATGAGGAAGTGAACCAGTAAGAACAAAATGGGTCCGGATCTCCTGCGGGAATGATTTGGTGGTATTTGCCCGTTGGATGTTCTTGAAAACTCTCATTCTTTATTGTATTGGTTCAAAAGACGGCCGGCAGATGCTATAGACGAGACCTTTTTAATTGCTCTTGCCTGTGGAAGATTCAAAAATTAAGGAAGCCTTGTTCAGCCTGCATCTAGACAAATCACCTAGGGAAGATGGTATGACATCTTTCTTCTACCAGCATTTTTGGAATTTGATTCATAGGGATTTGATATCTGCAGTTCAAAGCTTCTTTAACTCTGGAATGATGTTAAAATACTGGAACCATACAACCATCACTCTGGTTCCTAAGTGCAGTTCTCCTTCTTATCTGAATCAGTACAGACCCATCTCTTTATGCAGTGTTGTTTACAAAATTCTGTCAATGTTGGCTACCAGACTGAAAAATTGTCTTTCTTATTGCATTAGTGCATACCAGTCAGCTTTCATTCAAGATAGACAATTATTGGATAATATGATTTCGGCTCAAAAGGTATTTCACTTTCCAAACAAACACAGAACTAGAAAAAACACTTCTATGGCTCTGACACTTGATCTTATGAAGGCTTTTGACAGAGTGGAATGGATCTGCATTGAAAAAATCATGATAAAGATGGGATTCAGTTTAAAATTTGTTAAGTTGCTGATGGTGTGCATATCCTCTTTATCTCTTTGTTTTTGTGTGAATGGTTCTCTGACTGGGATTATTTATCCAACTAGAGGAATTTGGCAGGGGGATCCTCTGTCCCCATACCTGTTCATTATTGTAACTGAACTTCTTATCACTGATGCTATCAATGGAGGGGTACTATCTGGGATCAGGTTGTCTAGGAATTGTACAACTCTTTCACATATGTTCTTTGCAGATGATGCTTTATTCTTCTGCAAAGCTGAAGTGGGGCAAGCTCAGGCACATATGCACTTACTGGAGAGATATAGATTGTTTACTGGGCAGAGAGTGAACCTCCAAAAGTCCTCTGTGTTGTTTAGAAAAAACACTCAAGGTTTTGCTCAAGATAGTATTTGTTCTGCTCTGAATGGTATACAGGTGCACTCCTCTACAAGATATATGGGCCTACCCTTGGGGATAGACAAATCAAAAGGAGGTTTTCTCATATGTGATAGAATCTGTTAAATCTAAACTGTTGAATAGGAAGAATAAAATGATCTCAGTGGCAGGCAAAGAAGTGTTGTTGAAAGCTGTCATTAATGCACTGTCTGTGTTTACTATGTCTTGCTTTAAACTCCCAGTGTCTACTTGCAAAGCTATCTCTAGCTTGAGTGCACAGTACTGGTGGAGTAAGGGAGAATCTCAAGAGAAGGGTGATATAGCCCTATTATCATAGCCCGGTTCAGGCTTTAGTTACCCGACTCGACAGACGCTGCCAAGGATATCGTCAAGACGATACCTCCCCAAGTCGACATGACTTGTCAGTCACAAAGAAGATCGCCACCGGCTTAAGGACGAACAAGAGATGACTTTAAGAAGTCGACTCGGTGTAAGTCGACTTACGCGCTAGAAGGCGAATAAACATTCAGAGAGCCTCGGATATGCTAACAGGACCATAAGTCGGCTCGACAGAGCTCCAACTCGACTTAGAGTACCTCTGACTCCTCGCATTTATCTCCATATCATAGCAAGGTTTCCTGAGCTAGAGAATCTATACGAGATGAGAAGGAATCTAGGTGCTGACTCAGAGAGTGGGCGGAATGTGAACCGACCAGGGCATTTTGGACACTTCAGGCAAGTCGGCCAGGGCATTTCAGGTATTTCTAGTGAGCATTTCTACCCCTATATAAAAGAATAGAGGTGACTCCAAACCCTAACTATTATTCTCCTCATTCATTATTCAGCTGCTGCTCCCACTAGGCAGAGCTCCTTCTCTCATCTCTCACTGACTTGAGCGTCGGAGGCTCTTCACCGGAAAACACTTCTGGTGTTGAGTTCTTGCAGGTGTTCACAGCGGTCCACGGGTGACTTGGAGAAGATTCGAACAGACCGGAGCTCATTTCCACCGGTTCACTCCAGATATAGGAGGAGACCCATCAAGTTGGCGCCGTCTGTGGGGAGTTCTTGAAGGAAGTAAGAGCTTTACACCTAGTTCCGATATGTTTGACATGGCGGAGAAGGAAGGATTATCGAGAAATCTAAACGAGGACTTCAGGGCAGCGTGGACGGACAAGCGGCCGCCGTCAATTCCTGGCCCTAGACCACCGCTTC